ATCATAACCACCATCATCATCATCATCACCATCATCATAACCACCATTATCATCATCATCATCATCACCATCATCATAACCACCATCATCATCATCATCACCATCATCATAACCACCATTATCATCATCATCATCATCACCATCATCATAACCACCATCATCATCATCATCACCATCATCATAACCACCATTATCATCATCATCATCATCACCATCATCATAACCACCATCATCATCATCATCACCATCATCATAACCACCATTATCATCATCATCATCATCACCATCATCATAACCACCATCATCATCATCATCACCATCATCATAACCACCATTATCATCATCATCATCATCACCATCATCATAACCACCATCATCATCATCATCACCATCATCATAACCACCATTATCATCATCATCATCATCACCATCATCATAACCACCATCATCATCATCATCACCATCATCATAACCACCATTATCATCATCATCATCATTAACACCATCAAAATCATTATCATCATCATTACCATCATCTTGATGTTGAGTCATGATTTAGATATTTGTTGGATATCGTTTCTACAGCCGGAACACCAAACCGTTCCGGTTCCACTACTTCAAGGTGAGATCACCTGTTTGTCTCACCTGAGCAGGACATATGTACAAATAAACCAGTTTTAGTATTTCCATGTGTTTGAGTTATGTTCCATATGCTGAGTCATGATCTATAAGCTGAGTCGTGATCCAGATACTGAGTCATGTTTTAGATGTGGAGACGTGATCCAGATGCTGAGTCATGTTCTGCTGGGTCATGTTTTAGATGCTGAGTCGTGATCCAGATGCTGGGTCATATTCTATATGCTGAGTCATGTTCCAGGTGTGTTGAGCAGAGTTATGGTTGTTCTTTAAGGACGATGAGAAGGAAGAAGCTGCAGCTTCAAACAGCAGCAGCTGCATCTGTAACCCAGTTTATGAATCAGTTCTTGAACCAGCTGGACCAGAACCAACCAGAACTGATGTACCCGACCCTGCAGTGAGTCAAGTTTTAATTATTACTCTAATCTCATTAGGCACACGTGTAATGACAATAAAGCCATTCCATTCTATTTAAATATAAAGCATATGTTGTTTTGGGACTTGTGTGTGTGCAGGTGGAGGACAGAAGATCAAACAACCTGCTGCAGATCAGCTGAGCTGTTGGACCAGAACCTCTCAGAACCAGACACTTTCTGATTCTACTCAGTTTATTTTATTTTTAATTGGAGAACTGAAGGACAGCAACACCTTTTTATTGACTGAAAACCTGAAAGAAGAGATTGTTTCAAACTAAATGTTGACAGATAAATGAGAATAAAGAGTTGATTTAAAATATTTTATTTTTCATTCAATCTGAACAAAACTCTGAATCAAAGCTGCTGCTAGTTTAGCTTCTCAGGACCAGTTTAGTGTTTGGAACCCAGTGATTCTCTAGTCCCTGACCCAGTTCTAACAGCAGAGCCTCAGACCAGGGTAGGTCTGCTGAAGTCCTCCTGACTCCTGAGACTGGGTCAGATCTAAAGAACCGATGACCTGGAACCAGAAACTTTTCTATGAGACAAACTGTTTATTAAGAGCCAGATTTCTGGTACTTTGCTTCAAAGAGTTACTGGTCGTCGGTCTCGACCCCGATCCAGGACTTGTACTCGGGGACTCTAGTGAAAATGGCCGGTTTGTCCTCGTTGCACCACCAGCTGCCCCACGAGACCACRCCAAACAGGAAGTAGGTGTCTCGTTTCTGACAGAACAGAGGAGCTCCGGAATCACCCTGCAGAGACAAACCTGTGTTACTCSGGTGTCATACGTCTGAACACAACCAGCATCAGAACCAGCTCAGGTACCGTGCAGGAAGCCGAGCCTGCAGGATGGGAACAGATGTGAGCGTTGTTAACGAAGTCCCCCCACTTCTCAACGCAGGTGGTCTCGTTGACCAGAGTCAGTTTAGCTTGGTGCAGTTTGGAAGGATTAATGTTCTCTACAAAGACAGAAGAACTCAGGATGGACACAAACTGGACCTCCTTTTAATGAACATTTTTCCACGTGATCACAACTGAAACACTAAAGGTCCAAACCAGAGCCAGCAGCTGCTCAGGAGCTTCAATTAGACATTTAGAATTTAGTTTAGTTTGAACTGAACTCTTCRTATCTTGTGTGCTCCTACAGAGACCAAGCTGCTGAATGTGTCGGTCTAAAGTTGACCGAGTTCCTGATGGACAGATCCGTTCAGCAGACGTCTCCATCTACACTCAAACATCCCTACAAGAACACAGATGCTCACTGATCCGTCCGATCCATTATCTTTAGCCTCTTCTGGAGATAAAGTTTACCTGTTGCTTTAGTTTTCCCCCACCCAGCTGTGAAACAAGTCCAACTGTCGTCCAGTTCTTCGTCCTCCTCTGGGACACATATTGGAGACACTTTTGGTCCTAGAGATGAGAGMAGAGGACTGGTTAGTTGGGTYAATGTTTAAATTGAAGTTGGATGTTGGACACTGAAGGTGTGTCTAACCCAGCCTGGCAGGGACACTAAGGCGGAGCAGAGACAGGTCTGACTGAGGGGGGAAGTTGGCRTCGTGCATCGGGCTGATGACATCATCCACCAGGATGGTTTGAGACGACTTTTGATTCAGGTCATGAAGTCCAAGGACAGCGACATCTTGCTTGGCGCTGCATGGAGATAGAGTCAATATGATAGCTGAAGCAGCAAAGGTGGTGGGGGGTTACCTGGAGGGCCGGCGGGTCACCTGATGCTGCAGTGTTTAGCTGTGACCACCCAGCGGTGGTGGATCAAAGCCCCACTGCAGTAGTGCTTCTTATTGGACTGAAGACTGACCATCCAAGGCCAAGAGAAGGGACAGGACTCTGTCACGTTGTCCACCTGGATCCTCCCACCCTGGGACACAGAGATCCCAGCTGGGCCCAGAGTCCGATCACAGTTCAAGTGGCGCTGCTTACCACATTTGTCCTCTGCTGTCCAGATGATGGAAGACACGAGACAAGTCAGTTTATAACAAAACGAGATGAATGTTTCTCAACTTAGTGGTAAAATRTACCTTCCTCTGTGAGATCATCTTCAAGCAAGATGTTATCGTCTGCATGTGTTGGAACGAAAGTGTTAAAGCCAGAACTCACCTGGTCCAGGTGGAAAAAGACTTGCAGGTCTCTGAAAACTCACTCATGACCTCAGAGATCCATCTCATGTGCTCTTGGACTTTGGTGTAGACTCCCGGTTTTTTGGCTCGACCACAACCAACTCCCCAACTCACCAGACCTGCCAGCTCATGTCTGGTTCCGGTGAAGCATGACAGCGGACCTCCTGAGTCCCCCTGAGATCATAGGGGACAAGACAATGAAAAATTCATGAAGACCCGAGGACAACATTTTGGACCTCAGGCACAAACCCATGATGGATGAACTTCTTAAAGGGAGAAACTGATCAGATCTTAGTGGGTCTTAGCTGAAGAGGAGCCACCTGGGAATCATGTGCAGGGTTAAACATGAAACCCAGAATATCAGGTCAAAGACGACAGGTGAACCAGACAACAAAGGCCATAACCAAGATGTAGCATTTAAACAGAACAAGTGGGGCTGAGAACACAGCTCTTTGGTATGCCACAGGACACCCGAAAGTTGTCCACAAGGATAGAAAACTTGGTAGAACTCCTAATTTCCAAACCAGAATTTGAAAATCTGAGAACTGGTCTCAAACCTGAAGMGTCTCCTGAGCCTACCTGACAGGCATCGACTCCTCCTTCCTCCTTCCCGGCGCAGAACATGGACGGTCTGATCCTGCCGTTGTAGTACTCATTGCAGGTGTTGGACGGTAGGATGGTCACGTTCACCTCCTGCAGTCTGTTGACCCGAGGACCATCTGGAGACCAGAGACAGGGTTTAGGTTCAGACTGAAGTTCACCTGGTCCTTCTACTAACCAAACGAGTTCTGACTCTCTCTGGTGGAACCCCAGCCCGTTATGGTGCACTTCGTCAGGTCCAGCAGCGGACCCATCCACACGTCAATGGGTCTGACGAACTCGTTAAAAACCAAAGGATGCTCGAGTTTCAGCAGCGCCACGTCGCTCTCTTTGGTCTTGGTGTCATAGCCATGATGGCTAACGAGCCGGGAGACCTTGACCAGCTGAAGAGAGAAAACAGAAGCTTCTGGAAATACTTCTTCATTCTGACGTTTAACGAAATCATTTTTATGTTTTTATGAGATAAGTCTACCTTCAGGGTTAAACTCAACCCAGAACATTGAATTAGTTCTTCAATCAGTAAAACTGTTTACCTTCACTGTATTTGAAACTGAACAGCATCAACTAGATTTACAGAATTAAAGATTAGAAACTGATGTCATCCTCAGAATCTGATACAAGCCTGGAACCAGAAGGACCAACACCCGCCCCACCTGCTCCTCAGGCTCCTGGGGCTTATCCAGGTCGTGCCGTCCTGCCAGAACTTTCCACAGAGCTTCCTTGTTGTACCTGAGGACACGACAGGAAGTGAAGACAAAGCAACAGGAAGTCCCTCAGAGGACAGACTTACAGACCTGACCTCTGACCTTGTGAAGCAATGGGCAGCAGAGATGACCCACTGCGGGCCAATGATGGCGCCCCCACAGGCCGACATGGACGAGAACTGAAGGGAGACCTGCCAGGGCCACGAGTGGGCCCAGGCCTCCTGACCCCCGATGATTCTGGTCTCCACCTCCTGTTCAGGGGGGAAGGAGCGAACGCCTGCCACATCTGAGCAAACACAAAGAGACACTTTGACCAGGTAAGTTCAGCCACCTGGCAGGTGTTCAGCATGAAATCAGAGCTGCAGGTTTTTAAACTCACCGCTGAGTCCAAACCGTCCCGAGAAGAAGGACTGAGTCTGGTTGACTAAAGTCCAGTTAAGCTGATTCTGGTTCAGATTCAGATCTCTGCCTGAAACAAGAAAACAAGAAGCTTGAACCCAAACTCAGCTCAGAACTTTGCTTCCATCCTAACAATCAGGAACCACACGTGTCCTGGTGTAGCTCTTTAGATCCTYCAGGTGTTCCTCACCTGTCTGCAGAGCGTCCACACAGAAACACAGGAGGCAGGAGACCCAGAGCAGCATGTCTGCCTGGTTCCAGGATCTGTCCACCTGGGATCTGCTGAGCTGCACCTTCATCAGTCAGCTGACACACACACACACACACACACACACACCTGCCTGATTGGACACACCTGCAGCAGGTAATAGACTGTCAGCAGCTTCTCCAGACCCAGTCGTCAAACATCCTGAAGCTAAAGAGGATTTTCTAACAGAACAGAAGAAAGAGAGATAACAAGGTTSAGATTTGGACAAACAGGACTTGATTTTCTCTTTCTACAACACAAAAACCTAAACCAGAGAAATGTGATTACTGTGGACAGAATGAACCAGAGAACCTGTTCTAAAGAAAGTCAGAAGAACAAAGAACAGAGAATTTATGATGAAACWGTTCAGAAACATTAAAGGTTTGACCTAATAAACACATTACAAACGTGTTTATAGAGCAAACATACAAATCATGATACGGTTTTTGAAAAACACAACGTTGTTTAACAGAATTTGGTTTGATTTCAGTTTTTTGTATTATTTATTTATTTATTTATTTGAATAGATAGCTTTGAAAATGTAAAAAGAAATACAATAATAGTAGTAGTTCATAAATACTGTATTGGTGAAATCATCGTTAACCACACTCCACACCAGCAGGTGGCGGTAATGACACCTTCAGTTTATTACCAACCGTCATTAAACACCACAGAAGAAGAAGAGGATTTTCTGACTCAGGTAAGAACACCTGTTGAAACTACAGGACATCTCACTTCCTGTTYGATTCTTCACAGCAGAGAAAAAAATTAACTCTAAAAGTCAAAAACCATTSAGGCTTTAAATAAATCATTTTGTTTTTATTTCTTTTGACATGTTGAAGAAATAAAAATGGGAAAACTTGGTGTTAGGACACGCCCATTTAGTTTATGTCGCAGTGGGCGTGGTCACGTGCAGAGGCTGCACACCTTTATGACACGC